GTGATTGTACAAATATGATAACAGTTAAGCTCTTCCTCTGAGTAATACAACTATGTTTTGAGATTGTAACAAAGGTAAGACGTGGCCTTTTAATGACAAATAACATTTGATGGGATTTGATTCGGCGTGGGCCCACATTATGCCAAAGGGGATATTAGATGCAAATGAATCCCTTGAAACGTTATCAAGAACGTTAAACCACCCGTTTACTACCTAGTAAAAGCTCTGAAGCCGAGAGAGGCAGCCATAATAAATGACGAAGGGTTGTGGATCACGTGTTTGGAAAACATCGCGATTGCTGGTAAGACTTTTATAGTAGTATAAGTTTACAAAATGTTGCTGAATCTTTAATTAAAGGTGGTCGGCAACAGTCTCTACTTGCAGCTCTGACCTATACCTAGCCGTTTTCTTGAACACCTCTCCTAATTCGGATTGATATGACTACAAATTGCAGCATTTCGTGACTTGTTTTCAGTTCTAACACTTGATTAGTAAAAGGCACTAAGAAAATTCTGCGGCTATCGAAAAGGATTCGGAAGACGCCTGTCAAAACGGTACGGCAAAACAAATACTGAATGTCGGAAATGAGCTGTTGTACATATTAGAAGGCCCAACAACAGTACGGGTGCATTTTATTAATGGCTCAGTTTCGGCTTTATGGCTTTTATACTAATTTGTTACTGCAATCGTTTCTTTAACAGCTTTCAAGCGAGTATGGACTGATTCAATATGCTTTTTATTGCTAATTCTGGTTTAAACGACCTCACTTTACATTTAATTTGTTTTTTTTAATTTAAGTTCGATTCCTAAGATCTGTGTAACAGCGTAAGCAAAATGTTCTTGATTTCTAAGGCCACTGAGACACGAGCAATTGACTCCTAAAATTAAATAGGGATCTATGAATATTTCCTGCGCTAACCGATTTCAATTTGACGTTTTAAACTAGTCCTAGATATAGAAAGGTTTATTCATAAATCATTTAATGCAAGAGATTAAGCTTGAAGGATTTAATTAAAACAGAAAACACGCGGTAGGACTGCTTCCCTAAAAAAGCACCTGCTAAAAAATGATTTCAACGGTTCTCTTATCCTTCATCTTTTTTTAATCAGTTAATATAATCACAAGCAAATAAGCAAATGCGAAAGAGAGAATTTATTTAATTGTACCCCCAAAGGCTTTACTCCAAAAGCAACATTTTAAGATTACTTTTTACAACACCGACATGATTCATATCAAGGCACGCATTAAACGGAAACTCAACAGGGCAGATCCTAAGGCCGTTACTTACAACTAAAAACTCACGTCTGGACGTCGCGTGCCAAATTGAAAGCGTACAAGGCGAGAATGGCTTCTATGCTATTTGCGTAAATCTTCTGATAGTCTCAGACAAAATCGCTGGGACACTTTTTGTCTTCCCATCCTCCCAATGTTGTGTCCAAGATTTGGTGAGTTAGTACGCAGCTGTAGCGTGTATGAGCAGACGAGTATTTCAGGGGGTAAACAATAGCTCCACAAACTGTGGACCTGAGTAGGCGAAAAGGCGTTCTCTAATTTTCGGACGCTACTTGAAAATTCATGAATGGGGAAGCACGTCTATAACAATTTGACGCCTACACTACGTAGTTCAGTTTCAACGGTACGTAAAATTTTAGTTACCTTTTCTTTAGGGAAGGCCTCGTGTTACGTGAATATCGTATAAAATCTGAAGTGTATGTCGCTCAAAACTCGTTGAAATTGAAAGTATGTCTTACAATTGGTAAGTACCATTAGCTTCCCAGGTGACATCGTATGGTTTGATGTTTCAAGCATCTAGAGTCAGAAGAGTTTCTTCGAAAAGTTTTTTTTTAGGACAACCTAAACCTCCAGTGTGCGACTTTGCTTTCTTCATAATAACCAAAAAACGTTAAAGGAAATTCGTTACTTGCATCGTTATTATTAAAATTAATATCTATATTATTTTTTACTTTTTAACAATGCTGTCCAACCAAAAACGTAACGTTTCGTTGGGAGGGGGAGGAGGGAGGCTGTGTAATTACAATTACTTTAGACAACAGACTGTGTAGCTCTTAATCACTTTCACAGCTTAGTCTGGTATCCTTACAATGGAGTAAATCTAAAGAAAATACGTCATATAAATTTTGCTCAAGAAAAATAGTTGTTATTCTTGTTTATCACCGTGATGTGGATTGCCTTACACCTCTATTAGTTTCCTGTAATGATTTTTTAGGAAATTAACTAAAACTGAAATATCTTTAATCAGAACTGAACACAATAGTATCCTCGCCTGCTGCGAACGTTTTTATCAGCCATATTTTAATTACTTTAATAAATTTTTATTTTGATTCAACGTCAATCATGTTTTCAAGACTCTTTAACTTTAAAAGTCGTCTTTAGATTAATCAATGTATTGCTTTCTTGTATAAAATCTAGTGACAAATATATCGCTGATGCTGCGAGGACTATTACACGAATCGTATGATAAGCAATGTGAGTGAGGTCTTCCTCTTCCGACTTTAACTAAAATAAATTATTCCATTCTTTTGTAAAATCCTATCAAAAGACGCGATACAATCAGTTCCTCAGTTGGGTTATTTTGCATGCCGGAGTGGGTTTGCATATATTCTGTCGGCGTGAATTAAAGCCAAATAGAAAAAAAGGGACTTTTGTGGCATGTATTTAACCGCCAGAATAAAGTATTTTCAATCATGATTTGAGCAAAATAACGAAAAATCAAACCACTAGTGCTACGAATGAAAGTTGTAAAAAAAATTGAAAACTAAATACAAAAGATGTAAGATGGTACTAAAAATAATTTATGATTCGATATAAGTGATATCGTACAAAGTAAGATGAATTATTACAATAATATTATTTTGCTATGGCGTAAGGAGGGTAATAGGTCTTGAATATTTGTGAAAATCCATAAGGCCTGAGAAGTCGAGAATTTGTCGGATACAGAACAGCATTCAAGCAAAAGAGCAGAATTTCCAGTAGAATGAGCGATTTTTACAAAGGTTTACCTGCAGGAAGAATATTAAGTCATTTTGCTAACAGATTTTATCCATAGCTAGTAAGAACGGAGACACAGCGGGACCTCTCATATCACTGACCTAATTTCAATAGTTTCGGGCCCTCTTTTTCAACGGTTTGATCATAACCTCCTGTTTTGTTGTACACTCTTTTTAGGCGGTAACTCTGAATAGTTTCCAAGGGACTACTAATTTGATCTTCTCACCAAAATTCCGGCTAACCGTTTCAAGGTATTCGGTGTGTTTATGGGTTGCCTGGGTCTTTATACAGTTCATAATTTAAAAATTGGTTAAACGCTGCTGATCGAGCTGAGTCAGGCTTTAATCCACTTAACAGCCTCCGAGATCTACATTATTTCTCACATCATTTGCAAACCGAATAATTCAATGATTGTTTCATTATTTATTCAAGATATTTTTAAGTTCTTAACAACCTTACCCAATCGTAAGCTTTCTTCAAGTGTCTGTTTTTCGGTAAAAAGATTTTTTTTTGTTGTTGCAGATACGTCTAAAAAAGTAGCTAGCATCTATCGAGCGACATTGTTGGCGTTTTTCATGCATTTCTGCCCTTCAATTTTTTTTGCCAGAATTTGGCCATACCGTCTTCAGAAATCCATAAACTCTTTCGAAACAAGACTCGATCGATCTCCAATCGTCATCTGTTGATCTCTCTGCTTGTATCTATCTCCACAAAGCCAAATTTTAAATCATTCATTGAATAATTCATAAATTTTAAAACTTCGAAATTTGTATTAACATATAATGAAGTACAGGTTTTAAAAACCTTTAAGCAGGATAAGTGTACTTTTTGGTCCGCGAATATGCTCTTTAGTCAAATTGTCTCAAAGATTGGGGAAATGGATATCCCGACTCAGAGGGATAACAACCACCTACTTGTAAGCTTTAACGCTAGATTTTTCTGTTCGAAACGTTTTATTTTTTTAATTTTTTATAGTCCATATGCCAGCCAACTTATTAATCATCCAGAGTCTTTTCTCGAGTGATTTCACAATTTTCATGTTGTAATATTTCTACAGACAGGTACACTTTCATGACAAGTATACTAAATCTTCCAAAATTCAAAATTAGTTTTTTTTACCAAACGTTTATACATTATGTGCGACACCCCGGAGTTCCAAAATACAATCTCATTTTATTTTTAATGAATCGTTTTTAGCAAGGAAGCGAACACTTATATGGGGTTCAAAACAGGATTTGGCACCTTTAAGAAATACATTTACTCAATAGGACATAAAATGTTTTTAAAGACGATTACAATGACAAAACGTTAAGTTTAGTTATTTAAACTAGTTTGATTCATAAAGCATTGAAGTCGAATACGGATTCATAAATTCGTGTTGTATAAAAGGGTGATGACGGAGTAATTTGAAATTCCACGGAAGACTGACCTACCGTCAAGGCTATAAATAGCTTCTGGAAGAAGGAGATTTGACTTTTCATCTTCTGCAATGCCTACGCAAAAGACATTTTTCATGAAAATTTATATACTGGATTAAAATCGAATTTTGTAGTGGAATTTTTTTTCTCTTCAATTACTTTTTTTTTTCTTTTTTATATTTTTATATACTTAAAGATTATCTTTCGTCTTTGAATTGCCTGAATAACTAGGGTACATGAGAGGCTGTAAGAAATGCTAATTACTTCAACTGTTGACAATCTAGTCCCAATTAACCTGTTTTGACTAAAACTTCTATCGGAAACCTTCATTACGTACACAAAAGATAACACAAATTGTTTTCTCTCTGCCTGTTTCATTTTTCTCACACTCGAAAAAGGAAAAGATAGTCTTTTTTTCATTGATCTAAACAATATCATGAATGAAAAATTAAAGAAAAGAGGACTTACTTTTTGGCGGTTTCAATAGTAAAACGTAATGCCTTTTTATATGAAATTTTGTTGACATATGCTCGTATTCATTAGAAACTTCCTTCAAAATACGTGTATCCGCCCATGTCATCACTTGCATTTTATATTGGAATATATGGCCTGACAATGGCCAAAGATCATAGTAGGCTAATAACAATGGATCATGCATTGTATTCACAGAAATTAAGAGTGAAAAGTCAAAGTTGGAGTTTTAATCTATACTCTGCAACCTGTGCATTTGAATAGAAAGGTAAGATGTTACATGCCGTAATAAAGTAAGTAAATTCTTCTTAAAGAAAGGAAATCTCAGACGTTTGAACAATTGCCACCCGTAGCTGATATTTCGTTCCTATGAGATTAGACCTTTCATGAATTATCGTTGGTTGTCGCTTTCGAAATCGTCATGACTTCGTTTTTCACGACAACGGTATAAAACTTTAATTTTAAGCCAGGTGGTAATAACTGCAACTGTATCTTGTGGCACACATTAGGATGCGGATATCATTTGTTCTTTTCACTCAATAATGATTACTATTTTACATGCTCTGATCATAGACCAGTGACTTTCGACATAAGCGGTATGATTTATACCTTTAAAACAACGTAAAACAAAACCCTTTGGACACACGACATGAAGCATAAATAGGAAAAGCCTCAGTTTTAATCAATAAATATTAGGAGACAGATGCGTTTAACCAAAATCTAACGAAAGAACTCTAAGTTTCTTCAGGATGTTAATATACAAGAATACCAAATGTACTTTCACGATTGGCTCTTACTTTAACTTTTCCAACAGGAGTCAAGTTATTTTCAAACTATTTTACGGACTATTTTGTTTTAATTTCCTAACTTTATGCAAATCATTTTGAAACAAAAAGCGGATATACTAAGGAACGTGACTCTAAGCTTTTACCCAGAATAGCAGATTTTAGATGCTAAACATCAGAAATATGTAGATCCTTGCTGTAGTCCTTCCGTTATTTTGATTTGTCGTATACCAATTACCATAAGAACTTCCTTAAGCTGAAGAATATTTTAATCAAAACTTATTTAAGCGTATTTTCCCTTTAACCATTTTGTTGTCTTCGGATAAATGGAAGTATAGAATCTGGATGAACATTTTTTCCTTTAAAAATGTTTGGAAAGATAGATTCAGTACATGTTTCCATGCAGTGTTATAGATGGGAACGGTAAAATAAATATTGAACGGCGCGGGTTCAAACAGAAAATGAATTATGAATATTTGGATTTTAAAAATCCTTTTTTAGTAAGTAGTAGAAAAGAAAGAGAAACAGATTCTGTTTTTACACAGCTCAGTGAAATGAATACAGTATAAAATGCCTGAAAAACGCCTTTTGAAAATGTTACAGTTCTCACTCTGTTTCATCAGATGGTAAGAGTAAATATTGCGGTTTTAAAAACAGGATGTCTTAAATCTAACAGCATTACATAATCATACATTTTACAGAGCAGCTGTTCAGTAGTAGTTTCCAATGGTACTTATGAAAAGTAGAATTTGAAGTTACTTTCTCTTTTGCCTATTATTGAACATGTAATGTTTCAACACGTCACGAGAACCTATTGGAGATTAGCCAAATGAATCTAATTTATTCAAAGTTCTAAGAATCAAAAGCGAAAGCTGATCAACTTAATTTGGAACCAGTAAGCTAGTACTTGGTAAAGCGTAACTCGTAACTGTTAATAATAATATTTTCCTCACAATCGAAATTTAAAACAGGATAGCGTTAAAAATCGGTATAACGACTTTCCAAATGACAACAACACAGGAAAGCATGTGTGGTACAGCAGTAATAGCAAATACCTCCTCCTCTTGTTTCGACAGTTTTTCGGAGATCATACCGATATTTTTCAATCGCCTTAAACGATTTCAGCCTTGAAATTTTCACCACGAACTGATCTGGATTGAAGTTTGTCAAAATGTAGTGTTTAGCAAAATCGATATCACTATGGCAGCAATAAACAAAAAAATGAAATCAATAAAAGCCGAATTTTGCGCGATCGAGACCTGCTACTGAAAATCCGACACCAGGAACTTGAAGTGTGCTTAGCAAATAACCTCCGTGAGAAGGAAAAATTCTGTGTGTTTGAATTCAAATAAAACTCAAATATATTTTAAACCTTATATTTTCAATAGTCGTGATGAATTGTTTGAGAAAAACTTCTAAATAACTTAAATTGGTCTTAGGTGGCGTCAGAATGGTTCTAATGTCAACGAAAAGGTTTTTCTTTATTGCTATTGAAAAATCCTGTTTTTCACCAATCTAGGGCCTGTTTACATGGAGGTGGGGGACCCCTAGGGTGAGGTGTCGGATAATTATTTTAATTTGATCACGTTTACATGATAGGTGGGTTGACCCGCCAAGGCGGATAACCCGGTCTGCCAGACCGGGTAACCCTCTCAGCCGGGGTCAAATTTTGCCATGTAATCGTTTCAAGGTGGGGTAACCCGCTTAGCCGGGGTCGGATTCGTGATACATCAAATTCGCGCAAATTTCACTTTGGATATGGCTTTCAAATTCAAACATACAGTTTTTGGCCTTCTAACGAAGGTTTTTCGTTAAACATCCTACTTTAATTTGGTGCCGATTCTTAAGAAAAAAAATCCTATTAGGAAATATGGAATACCTCAGACTGAAATTTAAAAAGTAACATCGAAGTTAGATTTTTGCGATTCCCTTTTATATGGAATACCTCAGACTGTTCTCAAAAGTCAGTTCAGAATGCAGAAGCAAGGGTTATCACCTTAACAGGCAAAGAGAGCACATCACCTCTATTTAGAAGGGCTCCACTAGTTACCAGTTGAACAAAGTGTTATTTTCGAGATATTATTAATAACTTTTATTATTCATTCGATATATTTCTAAAAGCACAGGCATAATTCACCATAATAAGTTACTGATGACCAAATTTGGAAGAATTTTGTGTTTGATGAGGAAATGACGTCAAAATGCAGCCCGCTAAAGGTTAAGGCACCGTTACTGAGAAGACCTGGGGACGAGCTGAGTTGTTTTGGTTGTGAAAAAAAAAGGCAGACATTTCACTGTTTTCAAGAGTAAGAACTACAGCTGAAACTAGGCGAAATAATAGCTAAAAATATAGCAAAAACAGCAAGAAGACAGCTCAGAGGGCGCTATCTGCTATTTGGAGAATATTTGCGGAGCTGGACAAACCTAAACGTACACTATCGAAGATTAACTTAACATCGATGCAGGTAAGCCTTTTTAGCTATGTTTTTAAACTAGGAATTATTTTGATTGAATAATAAAGAAATTAATGAATTCGGCTTTCGTTGGATATGAACAATTAAGCAGATCGAGGAGGGTGTTATCGGCCTCGGTGGATAACACCCTCCGAGATCTGCTTAATTCTTCATGTCCTACGAAAGCCGAATTCATTAATTGCTACATAAGGCGCTGAATAATCTTCCTCCACTTTCCCTCTCTCGGAATTATTAAAGAGGTAAGTACCGAGTAGGAATCTTAGATCTTCTAAACTAATCGCATCGTCAATATGTCTTATAATTTAAATGCGTATGGTTACAGAGCCTTCTCATCCCCGGCAAGGTAAGAAGTTTTGATGTATTTTTATTTCTATTTTAGTGCCCCGAATAAAGATCGTTAAAATCCACATACAAACCTTTATGTTTCTGTTTGACCATGAGTCAAGACAATGCTGGTCATCAAATTGGAGACATTTCGGTTATGTACAAATCGATGAAGGAGGCAACGCTCAATGGATTTAACACCTCGTTTCATTTTAAACAAAATTACTTCAAGGACCAAATTCCTAAAAAGTGTCTTAGCACCCGTATGAATTAATTGTCTTTTGAAGTTTTACAGGGGATGATAAGAGGGTAAAACAGCACAGTGAAGTGGTCGGTAATCATAATCCTGACACATCAAATCGATCACTAGAATGAAAAGGAAAATAATTAAAATGATTACAACGTTTTTTGTTTGCTTTTCAGGTCTTTTGGAACCTGACATGCCAAATATCTGTTAGTACTTATAATTTCACCTTTGCTCTTTGTGGCCGACTGACCTTCAAAAGGAAAATGGCATCTGCGCGCAGACATCTTGCTCTTTTTATCTGTTTTGTGCAATTCATCGTCTGTCTGCTTGCGTCCAACTTGACCGCAACCTCCCAGGCTCGGAAGAGACCTTTGTATATAGGCTCGATGGCACCTATGACTGGAAAAAAAGCCTGGTGGGGAGCTGGAATACCATTAGCAATCGAGATGGCATTTGAAGATATCAATGCTAGAAATGATATTCTAAAAGAGTACAGATTACAGTTGGTTGCTCGTGATACACAAGTAAGATACAGGACCTATATCCACCAGACAAATCACTATCCAGTGGATAAGTAGCAGGGAAATCAATAAGCGTTATCCACTGGGTAGAGATTAATCCATTGGATAGTACTATCTAACGTTTGAACAATCAGGGCTGATTTATAGCTTTTACCTGCAAGTCATCTTATACCGCCTTTAGTTTTTCCTATAACGGTTTGCCATTTTTTCCCAGTGATTTAAAAAACTGAAAAACTCACTATAAATACGGCTTTCCAACTTGTTAAGTAAAGGCTTAGACTATAAAATTTCCGCGTTCCCACTAATTATTGTCGCCATCCATGTTTGCCATTTTGATTAAAGAAAAACAGCAGCGTCATCCTTGTAGCCGTGTTGCAAAAAAGACCCCTTAATAAATAGAAAAAAAAAAAAACAAATAGTTTACGTATTTTTACATTCAAATCAAGCTCAAGAATTTGTATTTTTAATATTCAGTATTATTTGTGACTTATTTACCAACAGGGAGATACAGGTCTTGGAAACAGAGTTTTCAACGATTTCTTGACGGAGCGCCAAGTTCGTCTTATTCTCGGTCCTTCAAGGTCTAACGTTGCAGAGTCCGCTGGTGCCACAGCCATGTACTACAACATTGTTCAGGTAAATAAATTTTCCCATCAAACTAAAATACCTTAAAATACCGACCGAAATGTTCATAGGTGAACTCGAAGATAACTAATGGAAAAAAAATTAATTACCCGTTCTGACGTCTGACAGCGCGTGAATAGGAAAGTGTTTGAAATATATGTTGTAGTTCACTTATATCCTTGGATTAAATTTAAATTGCGTTGTTTTCTGGTATGGTAATGTATAGTAATGAACTTGAAGACAAAAATGAACAACATACGTATCTTGCTTGAAATTCTGATTAAACATGTGATCATTGCTTTCTCTTTCCTTTGCATCACTTTAGGTTTCTTCTGCAGCTGCCTCTGGTAAACTCTCCGATAAATCTCTTTTTCCGTACTTCTTTAGAACAGTTCCGACACTATCCGATAGCAGTCGTACCTTCATAACGATTGCAAAAAGGTTTAACTGGACAAGAGTAGCCATTTTATATCAAAGCAGAGAGCTTTTTATATCTGTAAGTACCATTTAAATGGTTGTCAGTTTAAAACAAATTCAAAGTTTATTAAAAAGCATATTATTGATAATTGAACATTCACATATATTATTGTATTCTAAACTGCCTCTTGTTTTTGTATTAATATCAAGTGCCATCTTTTTTGGAAAAATTACAGGCGGCAACAAGTCTTAGAAGAGAGTGCAATACAAATAACGTTGAAGTGATATCGTACGGAAGCTTCTTAACGGATCCAAAAAGTCAAATTAAGCATCTCAAGGTAAGGAAAAAGCCAAAAATAACAATCAAATGTTTTCAATGTTTTGTCCTTATTATTTGGAGTTTTAAGACTATATATGAAGGCTTAGTCAAGCAGACGATCCGTTATATTTTAATATAATGTGTAGATAATATTTTGCCATCATCTTAAACTAACACCGATACAGGCAGTAGTAGCATTGTAGGGATGTCTTTGGCCTTTTTTGCGCAGGAATCTTGTTAACTTGCGCGCGAATACAGTAACTCGGGATTGAATCGTATCTGTTTGTCGCCGGTGTTCTTGTATTTGATTGCTCTTCGAAAGCCAGGTATCTGCTATGCAACTGAAAGTATCGCTTAGCTTTTTCATCATCGCAAATATCGTCTCTAGAAAGGACGCCGTCCATGTCCCCTTGTGTCTCTTGCATAGCTGGAAGAAGAGCGGGAGAGATGAAAATTATCTTGTGTCTTAAGTATAGCATTCAGATCAATCAGCCGGTCTATTCACAGCCTCCTCGTACTGATGTAAAAAGAAATCTCCATTCAGTTTTCAAAGGATATACTTACTTGGCCGGAGTGAATATTTGCAGCTTTTATCAAGGGTTCTTGAATAGGACCAAGTAATTACTGATTAATTAAAACTCATGTTGCGGCTACCCTTTCCTAGATGAAAAAGATTCTTAACGTTAAAAACAACAGTTAAATTACGATGATGAGAACCTCGAGATGTTAAGGATTTGCCTGTCTTTGCTAGCGTCAATCATTTGATGGTCAAATACTATTACATTCCGTTTGTTCCATTCAAGTTGCAATCTCGGTTCCTAAGCGGTAGCAATACCCTTCACAAATTCTATGACCGGCAATGTGACCGGCATTTCCATAAACGTAGGTTTCCATCGTGAATAACTCCAAAAGATCCTCTTGGGTGGAGGCTGAATGGTTTCTGAAGCTTGTTGTATTATCGATCGATTACCCAAGCCGTTTTCCCTGACCCAGTAATTCCTGCAATCATGCAGGTGAAAGGACGTTCCAATCGAAATCGCTGTCACTTTCGTGGGAAAGGCTCACAGAGCGCCTTCAAGACCACCATCACCACATTTCTATTGTTTTCGCTCCTCCACCACCACCACCACCGCCACCACCAACGCAGTTCTGTTGTTTTTCCACGTTCACAAGAATATTGTTGTTTATGGTCAGTTATGTGCTTAGTGACAAAATGCTCCCGAAGAGTTATGAAGAAGCTATTAAACAAATTTCATGGGGAACACCAACCGTAATATTTTTTGGTGCCTTTTATGCAGGCGCAATTTTTTTTTTTTTTTCAATTTTCAAACCGAGTCCATCCTTGCCATCTGTACCACCAGAATACAGGAAATGGTTTCAATGCCTGCGTATGGTCTAAAAAAAAAATACAAAACTTGACCATTGGTTTTGGAATTTATTTGATGCGACGCAGGTGCGTAGCGGCAGTTTTTGAAGGTGTTCGCACAGGAAGAAAAGTTAGACCGCCGAAGGGACCCCATACTTGGGGAATCTGGGGGCATGCTTCCTCAAAAAAGTTTTAGATTCAGTGGCTCATAAATGTCATTTCCTGCGTTTTCGACGGGACATTTTAAATAAAAGAAAACGAAGGAAAATGCAATAGTTAGTTGTATATGTTACCAATCTCTAATGTTATCGGTAAGGTAATGTTATCTAGTTTTATCAGTGTTCACGGAAAAAAGGTAGAGCGATTTTCGTATGACCTTGAAACGAAAACGCGCGAACAAAACAGAAACAACCAACGAACGCAAATAGAGCGATTTGATTGGTGTATGGGACGGATACAAACGAGCGTGGCTTTTGGTTGGTTAAGAGAACGATCAGGTGAAAAAACTTCATGCCCGAGAACTTTCTAGAAATCAATCGGTTCTTCGCTTTGACGTCATACTCAGCAACACGATTGGCCAGTCGAACAATACCTTGTCCATATTAGGGTTTTCTTTGGCGGGAAAACGAAGAGTCCATGTTTTGATCTTTTCATCCATTGGCTGATAAAACAAATAACGAACACTTACCAAGACCATTTTTCAAGGTCATACGAAAATCGCTCTAAAACAGTGATACCGCATAAAGGAAGTTACAAGCAAAGGGCGACATAGCCTGCATGAAAGCCGTCTCTCCTGCAAAACTGCGAAACGTCCCTTAAGGCAAGGAGTAACGTCAGAGGCGGCTGTACTGTATTTTACAGACTAAGGGCGAGACGTTTATCCTTCAAGCGGGCAAAGACACCAATAGAATGCCAAAAAAAAAAATCACTCACCCCTATTTAACCATAAAATGCTTTCAGAAAATAAAAAAAAAAACTTTCTTCTCCATATTTCACCCACACGCACGGGCGTATGTGCGTATATGAACGCTTCGCTCCTGCGAAATTCACGTTTTTGCTTTATACAAATTATCAAATAGCATGACGTAGCTTCTTTAATTTATCCCTTGGAAAAAGGACTAAAAATAACCTCACTTTACTAAAGGCAGTCAGTCAGTAAAGGCAACATCTTATCAAACAGACAACTCTTAAAGAAAACTATACAGTGAAACCACACAGATAAGTAATACAAGGATTGCAACAAGCTAATCATTGCTAATTTAAATGTAGAAGTTGTTACACGTTTTCGTCGGCAAAGCCTTAGAGGTTGTTTTTCTTTCATCTGTCCGTAGGATATCGACGCAAGAATTATATTTGGTTTCTTCAGTTTGTCAACGAGAACCATGTGTGAGGTAAGAGATTAATACTAACGACGGTACTAATGTTGCATGGGTGAACCGTAGGACGCAACGTTTGTTAGAAGGGTTAGTGCTAAGCCATGATCATATCATTACACTGCAGCAAAGGAAAGCAAACAGTGCATTTATAGTCTGCCACAAAATAAGGCTACAAATGAATTCATTTTCCTCAACGTCTTTAGGAACATCGCCGTTTTTTTTCGAAAATTTCTGTATCACCCAAACGGTCCCGGTAGGACTATAGCTCAGTCTGTATAGCGCTTGACAGCAGAGTGGGAATCCGCTGGACCGGGTCAATACTCAGGTTCTTAAATAACTGAGAAATAAGTACTGCTTGCCCTCCAAACTGCTAGGCGTTCGCGTAGCTCACCTGATGAGCCACGTAAAATGAAGCCTCTAGCAGGAAACAAAAAAGTGTTCTCAGTTATATATTAATACTCTTGCGCTTTAAAATACGTTGAGCTCGAATAGAAGGTACGTTTTTAACAAACATAAATTCAATTTTTACGTGTGTATCACAAACAAGTTGCAGTCCATCAAATTCTAATCACCTACCTCGTAAGCCAACGATAGACCTATTTAAGCCAACGATATAGTTCTTAACATGGCATTTTCATTTTGTATTCAAACGGTAGATAAGGCACTAAAAATATTTCAGCTTTGAATCCGAAAATTATAGGGATAAAAATTTAGCCAGGAAAAAGCAAAATTCTAGGTGCACGGCCGTAAATAACATGATGTTTGCAAGACATTTTGATCCGAAAATAGATCTCTAATCGTCTTCCGAACAGATACGGTTGGTGGAAGAGAACGTTAAATGGAATAAATTTACAAGCAAAAGATGCACGGCCGTAAATATGTTTGGGTGATCCGCCAGAGCAAGTTAAATGTAAAGGAGCAGAGCAAGTCAATGAAGGAGCGAAAGGAATAATACAGGTCAACTACATGTGGCTTAGTAGGTCAAAGACGAGGACCATGTCTGGAATGGTAAGCACGTGTGAAAACAGGGTGCCTACATAAACTGCATGCACGGTGGGAACGTTCGTACGTTTGCGAATACTGAAAATGTTTATATCATTGCATTATATTTCATAGCAACATTAATCGGGTATTAGCAAGTGCGTTCAGGGCCGAGTTGTTCAAAGCTGGGTTAAGATAAACCCAGGGTTAGTGCGAGACTTGAACTCTGTTGAAAGCTTAAAAAACATTCATAATTCTTTTTGTCTGCAAGTTGATGAATAGATTGGAAGCTCTAAAAATAACAGAGAAAACTATCCGACAAAATGCTTTTAAACGTAAGAAAAAGAAACCCGGTAAAATTTAACCCCGGGTCATGAGCGCTAATCGACCTTTTAACAACTGGGCCCAGCCAGTTTACCATTAGAATCAAGTTGTCTTAAAATGAGAAGTTTTTACGATTCAGTGTGAACTAAGAGGACAAGTTAAGTCAGGGAGTTAAGGTCTCGGTAAAGGAAAACGAGGTGCCCACAGAAAAAAATTCTAGTTACAAAGGCAAGTTATATATTAAATTAAAGCTAAAGACTAAATTACGTTATAAAAGATTTTATTTCATCGAATTTCGAAAGGAGCTTAAGTTTTTTGCCCTCGAACTCAGAGATATCGAGTTTACTGCTGAAGCTCCAGCCCTTTCGCGTTGTTAAATATTCACTTCCTTTTTATTGCATCTGATTGACAGATAAAAGACCTAAAAAAGGGTGTGAGGAAATTTGCATATGTCTCGTATTAGCGGAATTATTGCATTTCAAACTAAAAAGTCGAATCTCGAGCGCCATTTTCATATAAAATGAGTTACAAAGGGAAATCGGAAAATTATATACAAGAGGGCTGTGATGCTAGTATTATAAGAAAGGGGAGCGAAAAGGCCGGAAGAACATGGAGAGAAACGATCTTCGCATTTCTTATCTACACCATTGCTTGTTAATATGCAATCTCCCAGATATTATCATTATGGTGCGATTCTCTCCAGTCCAAGGTGTTTTTGTGGGCATTCTCAGCCATGTCCCAGCTGCTTCCCACAGCTTAGAGTCACTTAACTGTCCACAAAATATCAGGAAAACTTAACCCTCCATACTAGGCTTTTGCATTCTTCGAGAGAGTTCCAAGAGCACTAATCATGATGGCTACAATTGCCACTTTCATGGCGTGAACAATGTCTTGATACCTTTCCACCCTTTCCTCCCCCTCCTTATTATTATTGTCGTCATCATCATCATCGTCGTCGTCGGTGGTAATAGTAGTAGTAGTAGTAGTAGTAGTAGCAGTAGCAGTAGCAGTAGCAGTAGCAGTAGCAGTAGCAGTAGCAGTAGCAGTAGCAGTAGCAGTGGCAGTGGCAGTGGCAGTGGCAGTGGCAGTGGCAGTGGCAGTAGTAGTAGTAGTAGTATTTGAATTTATAAAAATTACACTTATGACTAATTTCTATAAGAAAATTAAAGTTTTCAATGATTACTTACATTTGATTCCATCAACAGACACCAATTGAACTCGAATCTAAGTTTGCCCAGAGAGCCCAATTTTTACAAGTGAATGATACTGACTACAAAGGATTTGCTTACGATGCAGCATGGCTGGTTGCCCTTGCCCTCAACAGAACAGCGCAGCAGCTGGGCCCTAACGCTTCTTTGGACTCGGAACCATTCGGGAGCAAAAATTTCTCAGAGCTTTTTAAGGGAAACCTTTTAGCAACAGAGTTCCTTGGTGTAACGGTAAGAGATAATGAAAGTAAATTCAGATTTCGCTTCTAATCAAGGGAAATTTACGCTTAACTGAGGTAGCTGTTTTGAGCCGCAAAATAGAACGAAACTTAGTATTTTTTGATAGAGGAATTGGAGTCTTATTATTGGCCTATATTTGAAGAACGCAACTGACCTTTAAAAAATTGTCTGTTATAATTATGACCGATGTCAGTGCTACTCGTTGTGACGCAGAATATTTTTGAAACGAGGGTGTTTGACATTTTTCTTCCTACATGATTATTTTAACCGCATTGCGAATGTCACGTGGGGTGGGGGTGAGGGTGGGTAAATGAACTTAGTTAGTTTATAATTTTAAGCTGACGGTAGAGAAAACAGCGGTCTCCACTCTTCTTGTTGACCTTCTTTCAGGGCCTTGTAAAAGTTAATGACAAAGGTGACAGATCGGGAGTTTTTGAAATCTCACAACTGAAAGGTATATTAATTAACTGATGGTATTATTCATAAAATATGCGGATAATAAAAACATTTCTCTAATTAGTCCACTATTTTTCAGAGTGCCCGTTTAAGTAGAGTCACCCCACTTAATAAAGTCAACACCAAAGGATACCAAAACTCGCATGGTTGCACCAGCTGTAGCCTCCCTTAGGGTAGATTAAAAATATTAATTATAATGCTGCAATGTAGTAACGAAAGATAGTATTTTGCATTGCAAACTGCAATAAATAATGATAACAAATTCAATAAGTTGTAATGATATCATGATATCAAATAGGGACAGAGTTTCAAGCTATCTGCAGTCACGAGGTACAGAAATCTTCTCTGGATACATATTTTGGAGTGGAATTCGAGTGGCAAGGTATAACCCTGGGTCGGGTTGTTCAAAGGTGGGTTAAGATAACCCAGGGTTAGTGCGAAATTTGAATTCAGATATGAAAGTTTAAAAAGTAAATTCACTTCAGTCCTTTTTGTCAACAAGTTGATGATTGGATGCTCTTAAAAATAACAGAGAAAAATACCCTAGAAAATGTTTTTGACTGACAAAAGAAAAAGAAACTCGGGTTAAATTTAACCCTGGGTTAAGCGCTAATCGGCCTTCGAACAACTGTGCCCTGTTTTGTGGGTTGTAATCCATAATTAAGTAGCAGGTTTAGCATTGAGGCCTGCTTAAATGTTAAAAAAAAATCTAAATAATGTTCTGTCCAAAAATTCTTTCGTCATGGAATGTGTTTGCAGGTATCTACCGACGTAACATTTCAACGATCAGGTATTACACCTAAAAATGAACATATCTCACCAGTATTACAGTAACTGCATTGGCTTCCTATAGATGGGCCAACAACTTTTAATATTCTTTTAATTACTTTTTAATGTTTAAATGGCTTAGCCCCTTCATATATTTTTTTGCCCTAGTTACAAGGTAGATTCCTCGGTGCAACTTAAGATCTGCTAATAGCCATCGTCTTGCTTGATGTCCGTTATAATCTGCGCAACTATGGTTTACAGTCTTTTTCAGTAGCGTCTCCACAGTTGTGGAATGATATGCCACTAGAAACTAGATCTTGTGAGAGTTTGAACGATGTTAAGAAAAAACTTGAGTGTTATCTTTTTAAGAAAAATTGGTCTCTTTATATTTTAGTCGTTTTAACTGAAAGCGTTTTATCCATAAATTAGTTTTGCTATTTTTAATTCGTTTCAATCTAATGTAATTTATGAACATTGTAATATTTTAAACATTTCTTGTGAATAGCCATTGGGCATCGCTGGGAATTGAGCTATATAAAAAAGTATTATAATTATTATTATGATCATTATTATTATTATTGTCTTTCTTTGTTACCTGAACAAGGTGGAAGGCCACCATTGGATCGCCACAGTGAACATAACGAACTACACATCATGTCAATGACCATATTCATCCCCGTTTGCATCATAGCATCACTTGGAATCTGCTTAGCTTTGTTTTTTCTCCATTTCAATGTCAGAAATCGGAATAAAAGGTGAGTGTGGAGTCACAATTAAGAGCACCTTAGGTCGTTCGTCACTGACAGATGATAATTATCCCTAGAGCAAACGGAAGAGTTACATGGGAAAAGTTTAGGTCAAAAAGATTAATATGCACAATTTGCAAAATATAGAAAATGCTTATTTCCCAAACAATGCCCCTTAACGTTTAAGCAAACTTTATCTCAAAGGCCCAGGCACTGACCACTTGAAGTTTTGCTGCATCAAAGTATTAATCAAGTTACTTTAATATTACTGTCTATGATTATACAGGGTCAGTCTGTAAGTCGTTGTGACCTAGCTACGACCGGGGACTTAAAAGAAGCCACACTACTTTTCGAAAAGAGAAGGGAAAGGTGTGGTCTACCTTTCACACATCACTCACATCATGGGCTATGGGTGGGTTACAGCAAGGTCTTAAATGGACCGATAGCGGCTGCCACTGGTGCCCTTGTATGCTGACGTCCAAGCTTACGGATAACATGTTCATATCTAATGTAAAGAGGGCACGTCTTGTTTTCCCCTATTCCACGAAATAACATTACATTACATAGCACTTTCTAGCAATAAACACATTATTTATATTATTAATACCCCCCTCCCCTTCCTACTCCTGTAAAGCTATTTTTTTTTACTCCTCTTTAATTAACTTGTTTTCCTCCACACCAGTCAACCACCGCCACCACCTAAAAAGAGCACATGTTTTTCTGATCTGTTATTCCCCTGCATTTTTCAGAAGATAAAGATAAATGGCTATGACGTCATCGGCCAATGTATTCCACCTCAAACTAATGATATTCCACTTCAATTAAAAGGGGTCTAAAACATCCCTACGATACTTCTTAACAAACTGTATTATTCATTCCTCAGGGTTATTAAAATGTCAAGTCCAAACTTAAACAATGTCATAATTTTGGGCTGCATTCTTTCATACGTTTCTGTCATTATTTTCGCTTTCGATGGAGATCATCTGACTGCAGACCTCTGCAAGGTATGCGTTATTCACTAAATATCTTTCCTTAAAATAGCATTTACTCATAAGAAAACATGTGTGCCGTTTAAATAGGTAGTGCTAGCTGTGCTGATCTTGGACATGTTTGGGGACCCAGACACCCCGCCTTATTTTGAGGGTAAACTGATGATGGCACCTAGAAAAATTGATTTCGAAACCTCGCTTGCGTCTTGCCTTATCTACCTGAGCGAGCCCCACATTTACGTAAAGAGCTGAATCCACCATGGCTAGTACGTAAACAAAAAAATCATAGTTTTGTCAATATCCTAAAATGTTTGACTCACCATCAGCAGATCACCAAATTCATTCGTCCTAAGTAACTGAAATGCGATTTTAAGTTTTTTATCTGTATGAAAGCTAAATGAGTGCATAAAATTAATAACATTTGCCTTTTGTTCCATTTTCTAGGCCCGGACTACTTTACTTTGCGTTGGATTCACTTTTGCCTTCGGTTCACTGTTTTCCAAAACATGGCGCGTGCACAAGATCACACGAATAATGAGTGCAAAAAAATTGGTAAGGGGCTTTAACTCTTATAACTCAATTGCACTCGGCGGTAGATCGCAAATTTTGCCCAAAAAGGCTAGCAATGTCTTTGCGCTCTATTTTTTCTTCCTCTCGCACATTATAGCTAAGTTAGCGAAACGTTGAAGAGTTCAAGAGAGAGATATGAGGTGAAAGTGGTTGGTTGAAGTCACACCTTTTGGGCAAAGAGCTTCTAAATCGATTTGGTCTGTTCCTGTAGTTTGCTACCCGTTGCCTTTAGATTTTTGTTTCATCTTTCAGCTAAAATCTCATTCAATATTCCCTCTTTGTGGGAAAAATCCCAGCTTTTGTAGGTGTATCATAATATCATATCTTCTTTTCAGATTATCAAAGATCGACACCTTCTCGGAATTCTGGGCTTTCTTCTCGTCATAGATTTGATCATTCTCTTATGCTGGAATTTTGTGGACCCCTTTCACACTAAAGCAAAATACCTGACTGCATACGTGAGTATAAAACACTGTACCATTCAAAGCTTTGAACACGAAAACGCCAAAAAAAGTCACTACTAAACTGATAGAAGACAGCCTTTACCTGTCTCACTCTGTTTCGGCCATGTCGCCGATAGTTTTGATGACACTCTCTATGTGTAATTTACTCTTCGCATCTGCGAGTCTTGTGCAATGTTCTCAGACACGTAAGGATGTTTACCTTGCCCTAGCCAATCGGAAGAGATATAGTGCGTACACTGTCTAATAATAAAACTAATTGGCAGAACTGCAACTGCACGAGCTTACGTTATTTTGACTTCTTTTGTTCTCCGCTTTTATGTCATTTTAATAATTTCCAAAACAAAAGTAAAGCAATAAATCATGCTATGGCAAATGCAATGGTTTGTGGAGAATGTTTTTTTGAAGCTCTTCGAAACACTCACCAGCTTAAAAATTCTCGAGTTTCTTGACGAATTTTTAAACATAATAAAACACCACGGCTATTGTTTTGAAGCTAACTGATGCTTACAAATTTTGATATCCCTCCCGCTCAAGTCTAATCAAGAGGATGACAACATAGTTTACGTGCCATATGTATACACGTGCGAAGTCGACAACATAATCATCTGGCTGGGCCTGCTGTACTCATATAAAGGAATTCTTCTGCTGTTTGGTCTGTTTCTGGCTTGGGAGACAAGGAATGTCAAGATACCTGCTTTGAATGACTCTCATCACATTGGTGCGTCTAATCAAGTTTACATTCGTATATTTTTGTATCACATAAAATAAGGAAAATGAACTTAAAATATCTCAACTTTTATATGCGGTTCGGTTGCAAGGAATCAATACGTCAGTATAAGAGCTACCAAAACAATCTACTAGTTAATGAATGTTAATTAAAAAAGACAAACTAATACTTTGGAGAACTTTTGCTGTTTTTTGTAGGAAAAAGTGACTTACCTGTCACCACTAAACAATCACAATCATTCACATTGTTTCAGGTCTTTCTTCAGCCTTTTTTACGTTTTTTTCATTAACCATCTCAAATAATGTATTTGAAATGACACGGACTCCTTCCCTGGCCTTAAACCCTATTGTATCGAAAATTTTGTAATAATCTAGTGCAAGGAGTTGCTTACAGTGGCATAATAGAAAGACTGATCTCTTAAAAAGCAGGTTTTATGTTTAAAATCTAGAACAAAATAATCTCATTTTTAACAGCACTTTTTTTTTTACCTTTTGCTCAAGGTATGGCAGTTTATAATGTGGTGATAGTCTGCATCGTTGGCACCCCTATTGTTTCCTTTGTGCAAGCCAAACAGTTCGACGTGTCCTTCGTTATTACAGCAGCCTGTATTTTGTTCAGCACAACTTCTACATTGTGCATCGTGTTTGTTCCAAAAGTAAGTGAGGAATGATCTGCCTATTTTTCTGGTAGATGTCTAACTTGTCACACTTAAACTGTTTGAATCCACGATAAAATTGCTGGGAGAACAAAACAATCAATGTCTGCACACCTAACCCTCGCTTGAGGGGATGGAGTCTTTTTCTTTCCCGCAGCAAAGGTTATTAAGCCCTAGGCAAACAGACTCAACATTGTTGGATCTTACGTTTTGCGTCCGTTTGGACTCCCTGTTGGGGTGTTGTTCCGTGTTGTTGAGTGTTGTTGGGAATTTTTTAGCAAAGTTTGAAACCGGTGGTCAAACGTCTAGCTACGTGCAAACGTTCGCAGCATTGTTGGGCCAACAACGTTGGGAGTGGCTGCGTCCGTTTGCACGTGGCTTTAGCTTTAACAGAAGGACAAAATACAGTGGTAATGGTTGGGGGGGGAGGGGAGGGGGAAGGCCTTATTTTCCCTTCGGAAATATACATTATCAGAAAGACGTAATGTCTTTGAGGGTAGTGTCTCAACACTTTTATCGCCGACTGTAGCTTCTTTGTGGCGAGCTTCCAAGTTACACCACGCATCAGTAAAATTTGCTTTTACTTAAACTTAATACATTATCAGTCTCGTATGTACTACTTATTCCAACAGATAAATCGAAACGAAAATTTGCTGCGTGTAAATCAATATAATCATCAATAAATAATCTTTAAACTCACCCTGCGTATACAAAAAGCTGAAAGAATTTAGTGTAAGTAAGACGTGATTTCCAACAGTTATATTAATTGTCATAAAGGAAAGGAAATACATAATCTCACTGTTAATATAATTATATTTCCCAGTTTTCAGCCCTCAGGAAATCTAAAGAAGATGACTATCGCTTGCGTGCTCGCACATTTAGTTCCTTGGAAGGATGTACATCAAATGGTGTTAATAAAGGTTATTATGCTGTTAATCACGAGGAGGAATTGCAGAAGCTAAGAGATATGTTAAAAATGGTAAGTAAAATACCTGACTGCAACGATCAGGCCTCTGAAGCCTGATAGAATCTTCCGTCAATCTAACAGAGGCAAGGATAATGTCTCTGACATGTGACAAGTCACGTGAACCAAATATGAAAAGGGCAAAATGGAGGTTTGTGTTCTAATGTGTTAAAAAAGTAATAATTAAAGAAAATAAAATCATTGCCTTCTCTGAGTGGCTTGTTCTATGTGTTATACATGTACACTGAAACCAGATGCGCCTACTTAAACGTTTCATTTTCAGCCCTAGCTTAAATTGGAACTACCGATAAGCTTATAATCTGATTTTCAATAGCTGTTAGATTTTTAATCCATAATCATAATTTTGTTTATGTAATTTTTTTTTTCTGGAAAGCTTCAAGTGGAAAAACAAGAGAGATTGAAAAACAGTGGAAGCTGTAATACACAATTTTGAAAAAATCCAAGTTATGTACGAGTCAGTGATGGTGTATTCCAGAGGAAATAACCAGGCAAAGCAACACGCCGTCAGCTACAACTGCTTTCACCTAGCCTCATCTCCACTTTGGCCATGAAAAGGAGAAATGATATGTCAGGTCATCGTTATCGACCGTTGATTACGCGTCAAGACGGTGTAAACCTAAATCCCTGAGGCATGGGTTGCCCAGACAAAAACTAGGCAAATAGTCACCTGGTGACATTCGATAACCTTAAAGTATGCTTTGTAACAATTTTAGCTTAACTATCCGCTGACGGTCAGCTAAAAAAGTCCAATTTAAACCTTGACTTTGTTTGTAATAGCCAATTGGCTCTTGAACTAAGACTAAGTTGAATTTTTAATCATACTGCATGCTATGCCGTTAAATTCAAAATTATAATCGTTCGCTATCTAGCTGGGGTTGGCAAGTGCGCTTTCACTCTAAACAAAGCAATAAACTTTGAAAGCTCTAGTAATTTTTACAACTTTGTTCAAAAACCTGACTTCAGTCTTGAAAAATTAACAGTTTTTTTCTTTTGTTTCATCTTTTTCTTCCTAATTTATTTATTTATTTTCATAGTAAAGTATTATTAATAATAATTAATGATTTTTTATTTAAAAGGGCGCTTCATGTTTCCACCAATTTCGAAGTGGAAAAATTGTTCATGAACAGAGGAAAAATTAACATTAGTTAGTATAGTCGACATGAGAGCTCAGTGGTTAAAAGGTTCTACTTCGAAGATCTCCCCTTAACATATAGATTTAGCCGGGGGTGAAAGCGAAGCTCTGGTTAATAATACTCATAAGTGGTTTTCACGTTACGTCAGCGCCGCCATGCTGGTGGACGGTAAACAAAAGATTGCTCATTAGCTCGTTCTGTTTGTCCACCAGCATTTGTTCATTTCACCATTGTTATTTGTGTCTCCCGAGATTGCATGAAAACCACTTATAAACAGAAAAAAAACTAAATCGTGTAATGCTAAACGGGGAGGGCAATGAAAATGGCATCAAGATCAATAGATCTAATTACCAAAAAAAAAAAACAAATTGGATGTGCAGCACACTTTTTTTTATAATTAGCAAAAAAAAAACAAATTTGTACGTGCAACACGCTTTTTGTCTTTCTTTGCTGTTGTTTTGCACAACTGCAACGCTGCTTTGTAGGACTAAATCGTCAAATTTCCTAGTTACACATTATTTTTATGGATGAATTGTCGTATGTGCTTACCCAATATTTTGTCTCCTGTGTTCATGTTCACTTCTATTTTTCACTGCCCCTCATTTTCACCTTGCTGGCCCCTCCTTGCTGGCCGCTAGCATTTCTCGTTGTCTCACCGCCGCTTTGAATTTTCATGTTTTTCTTGCTACAAAATTCGTTTCTTTTGTTTTCAATCACTTGCTCTAGCTCTTTCTCTGTTATCCACGTGAGTGTAAACATGAAAAATAACGTCGAAAAAGACACGACTTTGTTGTTGTTTTTTCTGTCTTAAAGTCCTGGCGGCCATGCGATTTCTTTCCTTATACTACTACATGAGAAATTTCTGCAATTTGATTGGCTTAGATCAGTGGTACCGTAAATTCCAAAAATAAGCCCCGGGGCCCTTTTTGAGGGGCTTATATTCGGAGGGGCTTATCTACGGAGGAAAATTGGCGTTTCGAAATCGATTGGGCTAGCCTTATAGTTGGACGTAAATTTACCGTTTTTTCTTTGTTTTACTTTGTAATTTGAGGGCAATTTTCCAAGTACAAGTCCCGGGGGCTTATATTTGGAGGGGCGATTTAGCGGAGGGTTTTTCGCGTTACCGGTTTGGGGGGCTTATATTTGGAGGGGCTTATACATGGAGGGGCTTATTTTCGGAATTTTACGGTATTTCAGCCTAACTTTAAATACCTACATGTGAAAATTACAAACCTTTTGTGGGTAGTAGTGTGAACAAATAATAGCATGATTTGTACGTGATATTTGGCATAAATGACCACTTGTGATAATTTAAAATTGTCTCAAATTTCACTCGCCTAAAGGCTCGGGAAATTACGTATAACAATTTTGAAATATCACTCGTGGTATTTATGCCAAATATCACTACAAATCATACTATTACCTATACAAATAAAACCTTGAGTTGCATTTCGGTTGCCATACCTGTTTATTTGATTATTTTACATTGGTATACCTGTGGTGCGGACGGACTCTCGGGCGGTCGGTCGGTCGGTGTACAGTCACGTGATTACCAAATTTTCTCGGATGGGTAGTTTACCACATTTTCTTACCCATGGTGTTCCGCTGCGCGTGCTTCGAGCGCGAGAGCTCCTCTAAAATCCAAGTTCTATACTCTTACGTAGAACATAGATATAGCGTCTAACTCAGGTGGCATCACCAGTGGTTGTACAGCAAGGTTTTGAACATTTTAAAGCTGTTGCTGCGGTTTATTTAAGGTGAATGGTGGCTGAAGCCACCTTTCACCGAAAAGAATTTTTTTTACTAAGAAAGTAAGCGACAAATTCTAGAAAGAATCAGAAAGAAAGCGATTAATGTACAATTCCACTGACGAACCAAATCATACGTGGAAAATGCGCATGAAGCAGTAAACAGTACATTTACAGCAGACTGCTGGATCTTCACAGAATTTTGAAACATCTCAAGCAGATTAATGCCTGGGTCTTAATACATATTTTTCAGAATTTTTAAACGGGGGTGGTGTAACGTAAAGCATTTTAAAGATATCCCATGACTAAATATTTAAGGCCAATCATAACCGAGAAATCTTCCAATTTCATTTTAACAATTATTTATAACTGCATCACGTGACCAGCCACGCCCTGTGTTATCGAGAAATCCTTTGAGTCGAAATTCTCACTAGATAGAGGGCAAAACCGTTTTCCTTTAGTAGGTCCAAAAAGTGGCTACAAATAGTCTTTTCGTAAAAACGATCGGAATGAGGCGAGGTCAATAAACGTCTTTCTCCTGTCGATGATAATTTTAGTTAGAGGAGAACTGGCACTAGTCAATAAACACCAATTGCAACTGCCAATTGTAATGCTTCGAAGCATTACAATTGGAAGAAGCAGTCCGAGCTGATTTCGTAGACACTTTGTGGGGACAATGTTTTGATACAGAGAAACTGGAGGTACTTCTTTGGCAAGTGGTGCATGGGAATCGTTGGTTCAGGAGCCCATAATCAGGAGCGAGCAACTTCCATACTAGGCCTATGTCACTGCGGTTTTACGGACCGGCTTATTTTTAGACAGATTTTAGGGCACGTTTGTCCCGCGAAAATGGAATCTTCGCCACGTCTATGAAAGCATTCGAAATATAAGATATCAAAAAGGAAAAAGTAACGTCATTAAAAGAAAAAATTATCATTTTTAGGTCTGTAGGTTTTGCTGACTGCTTTCTGGGACTTAAAAGATATTCTCAATTCGCGCCAAAACAGTTCTAAAAATAAACTGGTCCGTGAAAACGCAGTGACACGAGTGCATGAAAGTTGCTCGCTACGGGTTATGGGCTCCTGTTGGTTACAATTTTCGAACAATGAAGGGCGTGCTCGATCACGTGACCAAATAATTAAGATTTCTTTTTTAAAGTTTTTTTAGCTTCAATTTGCCTTTCACCATATATCGTTCCTCGTGGATGTCTGCAACCATAGTTTTTGAAACCTGTAAATTAAAAACATAAATGACTTAGACCCAGGCCTTAATCTACTTGAGATTGCGAGTTTTAATTATCTCAGTTTTAATTTCGCAAACAACAACGTAACGTTTTAAATGAGATCGTCAAAAATGAAAGAAAAAATGCTGACAATGGGTGCTCGGTTGCTCGAGGTGAGACGTCATATTTATGCAGTATTGCTGCTTTTCACCGTTGCGCCACGAAAAATACGAATCAAAACCTTTCAATATATAAAATCCAGAAAGAATCTGAGAAATGTAAGAAGGTTAATATGCAGGGACACTCGCCGCGATTCAGATATCCGAGTTATTAGAGCTTTGTATGGAGACGCCATGTTGGTGCCCCTCTGAAGGGCACAAACATGGCGGCCAATAACTAACAAAAACATCCGTCACTTCACTGAGTTTTGTTGCGAAGAACTGTTCAGATAGCAAAATACCTCAAAATAAGTCAATTTTTCAACGTGCAGGGCAGATCTCTTGGCGGCCATGTAAATGCGGCGTCAGGCAGAAGTCTAGAATTCAAGCGTAACCTATTAGAAAAAGAACCTTTTTGTAAGTTTGTAAGTTGTATAAGTATTACTTAATGAAAGTAAAAGCCCGGAAAGATTGATAGCGGCTTTAGTTTTAATTGTGATGACGTCATGTGAAAACCAGCAAGTCTTCGCCCTGTTTTCTTGAAATGTAAAATTTCCCCAAAATTTGCTCCTCAATCCTTTTCTTTAGGTCAAAATGTGTCGAATTTTCTTAAGTTCTTACTGTAAAAAATGGCAAAAAAACCGAGCTTATGCTTTTCCACAAGATTGCTGAATAGCCCCAGAAAGTGTACCAATCTGATTACTTAAGACACCAAGACCATTGAGTGTGTATATACTAAGAGTATGGCTAATGGATAATTATTGACTATTCTGATAAGTCTGTTACAATAACATTGATAAACATTTTCGGTAGCCTCATTATTATGTCATTTCTTTGGTGAAAAAAAAGAAAAGAGAAACCGCTCAGTCATTTCAAAAAACTTAATAAGGAACATCCACGGGAATCTCGGTGGATCAGAAGTGTTCTGCAAAGTATAGATGGTTTTCACAGTGACGTCATCAAATCGCAAAGTCAAAATAGTAAGGTTTTACGAAATCTTATTTACAGTAGGTTGCAGAAAAACAAAAAGTAAATCTTTGTACAAGTTTCCATTCCCGTAGCATGTTTCATTTCGAAAATACGGCAATTTGAACTTCCGAGTTTTCACAGTGCGTGACACCAAAATAGGAATGCTGTTTCGCTGAAAAAAGTCTCTCCTCTTGATTTTCACCAGAATAACCATTTCAAGTATTAGAAGATATGTTTATGCACACGTATGCTAGTTTTCGAGTGGAAAGAAAGAGCTTTTATCGAAAAAGTGAACTTCAGATGTTTTTGTTGATTTCCGGCGGCCATACTGGAGCTGAACCAAAACGGTACACCAATATGGCGTCTCCATAAGGTGCGTGAAACGTTTCGGCAAAAAATTCGGAAACTGTGGGCCACAAAAACCTGAGACAAATTGTTTATATATTAGTCTTTTATAACATATCGTTTTCTTGGCTTCTTCCTCTGGACGGTTTCCAATTTTTTTTTTGTTACGTGACAGTGAAAACGATCTATAGGTTCTTTGGCGACAAAATATGGGAAGAGAAGTGTCATACATACAGACAATCGCGTCTGCTTAACATGGAATACGTTTATGGACGCGTCAGACACAGTCCAGACAGACTCGACGTAGCTCAACAAATTACTACAAACTTTACTAAAACGTCGGTTTACTTCAAAATCTTTATTCACCATATTTACTCTTAGAATGTTGGAATACATAATTCGTTGCCTTCGTCAATAATAAAATGGCAGAAACTACCTAACAAATTACAATGACTTGTACCTTTTCATGCTATGAGATTTCTCTTTTAATTTTTTGCAAAATCATAATGAGGGATTCCTTAATGTTAAAGAGAATTGTATCGCAGAGCTTTTAAGCTCCCCATTCTCCTCTGAATGACATCGAAAAGCAAGGGAGATGAGGAAGAAATACTAAACTTGTACTTACATTACGAAATATTTTTGCCCTGTTTTCTAACTAGAATAACACTAAATAGACAGCGACTAATAAATGAGCGGCGGCATTATTTTCTCTATTACGCTCCTGGCGAACACAGTTTCCATCAACCTCCTCAGGAATTGGGCTGTTCGCCGCACTAATCCGTGTATGCAAATGTTTTTTTTTTTTTTTAATCGGAACTTTTTTTTCGTATTAAACATGAGTCCATTCCCGCGAACGTTTCGACGCAAAAAACGGTTTCTGAACACTTTACTTGAGAAAAATCAAACTTCGCTGAATATTTGAAACTTCTGCCCCTCAATTTCAAATTTCTTGGCTATGAAAATATATGTAGTTGACAAATCAGTCATTTGCAATCCAGTATTCTGATTGGCTGACTTGGTTCCAAAATTCAGTTCGCATACAGCAAGAAACGATTAATATCGGCGCATGCTAAATTGACAGTCTTTCAATAAATTTGCTATAGAATACAATATGCGAGGAAGAAGCTTCCCTTTCGTCTACTGTGTCAATAGAAATCACGAGTTGGCCGTGTCTGTAACTATTATGTTCACCGAGAATTGTGCCCCCCCCCCCCGCCCCCAAAATTTAACTTGAGTACATATCGAAAATTTCCTGGCAAAAAAGTTCCCTGAACACTTTTTACTATTTATTTTTTCAGTTATTCCTAACGTACTAGAAATTGAGTAACTAGTAGTTCGCATCTGTGTGTATGTCTTTTCATATTTCAGATTAACAAAAGCGTAAAAAACTTGTTATTAATTTCACAATGAAAATAGATCTTCATGTGATTTGGACATCATTAGCTCTTTAGCAGTAGTTTCTGTGGCAACAAGATAATTGACGTCATCGAAAAAATCTCTTCTTCTCACTGGCGTTTCGAACAACGTTGGATTGGAGCGTGATTCCGCCAACCTGTGTATTAAGCAAGATGAGCCAGTATTAGTTAACTGAGAATCAGATTCGGTACTTTAGCCAGCCTATTGCTTTAAGCTTTCACCTATAAATGAAATCATGATAAGATAATTTGTCCCTTTTAACATAAATTTCAACCGGTGAAGGAAATCTTATATGGTGCGACCAATCAAGAGTTTTTCTTCAGCAGTAATTTCAAATGGTACTATTCATTTAGTATGTAATTCTAACTTTCGAGTCTGTGGGGAAAATGCTATGGTGTGACCATTCAAATTAAACATAGAAGTGGAAAATTTTGGATTTTCCAAAAAAAAAAAACAAATAAAAAAAAGAAAAGAAAAGAAAAGAATAAAACCTGGATTTCTTGGGAGTTTTTTTAACCCTGGCTATCTATTTCTATGGGTGAAAGGGTTAACGCCAACACTACGGCAAAACCACTGACCAGAATTTCCAAAAAAGGTGTTGATGATACACAGGGCCAATACGAGACTGGAGACTATTACGCACCCATGGTGTATGCATAAGGACGTAGCTTTTGTGAAAGAAAATAGATTTTTTTTTTCATTTTATGAATGCACAATCAGCATACACTGTAATTAAGCGAAAAGAGGATAAAACGTACTTGGTAAATTCTGCATCAAAATCATCATCATCCACAGCAAGATCCTAAACGGCAACGAGAAGGAAAAAAAGGTCACCATATAACATCTTTTTAGAGATGTGAACTGCAAATATAGCGAAGATATGATCGTCGCAGTTGTAATAGCAATTATTAACCCAAACAGGATTCGAACACATGGCATATGCGCGCTTTGTCACAACTTTGTAATAAATTGTTCGTTTAAGGTCTACATTGGCCTTTAAGACTCATTTTAAAAGATAGACCGCAATTGCGAGCCCTATTGATTACAATCACCATATGACGTTTGTTATCACTTTCCATATGAGCCCATCACTGGCGCTGGAACCTCCGTCTGTGGTATAAGACTTAACGATTTCTGGCTATTTTTAACCTCATCTTCCACGCAGTCAATCAGAGCAGAGTAGAATTTCCAACAACGGCGGATAAGATAGCGCATTGTCAAACGAAGACAGTTTAACTGCTGAACAAAGACCTCGAAAGTAAGAAATACAAGGAGTCTACCTAGAAAATCAATACAATTCAAGTATTGTGAAACAATGTATTACCAATGCTTTCATTTTCCTTTCGGTGGTCTTCATATCATGGGAAGATGCATCTTCGGTAATCTGAATAACAGGCGTGTCCGAAGATGCTTTCGGCTTTGTAGGGGTCGCGTAAATGTCCGCATTTCCATTACTTGCCAAGGTTTTCGGTTCTACAGAGTTTTCTTTGTCCTCATTCTTCGCAGCTTGAGAGTTTTCTGAGTTCTTGGAGGATTTTGCTTTCTCGTAATTTTCGTAGGCAAGCTTAAAGGCATCAGCGATGGTTAATGCAAGAGCTTGAGCCTAAAAAGGAGACGTAAAGTTCAAAAATTAACCTCTCTCTTGAAATTATCTATTCCCAAAAACGTGCAGAACAGAAAATGCAATACACTTCCCTGAATTAGTTATTTTTTTGGTTACTGGAAACATTTTCTTTGCATCTGAATTGAAATAATGCGTAGGAGTGTTGGCCGAAAATTCTGCTCACAATTCACGAACAGTCACAAAAAATGTACTTTCTCTTACTAAAACACAATTAGTTTCCTTGGATCGTGCCATTGACAATTGTCATGTTTGAAGGACACACACACAAATAGATTTCCGCAAGAGAGAATGAGGTAAGAAAACGAACCCCCCATCAATGATCCTCTTCCTATGAAAATTATTTGAAATCTATTTTTGACTTTGTGTCATGCTGCGAGGTTATTTTGAGGACGAAACCTTATTGGTCCTCTCTTTCCCCTTCCCATCGTCCACCGCGCGCTTTCTTTTTGTCCCTCTCCCCAGCCTCCCTAAGACACAAAGAGGCCTCTGCAGAGGAGAGAGCGAAGTTGGTCTTTTCTTTTGTCGACGATCCAACAGATATCTGGCAAGAGTAGCCTCTTTCTCTCTTGATTACCGCCAGTCATTCATAACGCTCCTGATCGTGGCGGTGAGCGATAAGACTGAGCTCATTTTCTACTTACCATTGACTCTTTGCTGCACAGAAAAGCGTAGCAGTTTAAATCATGTTTTCCTTGCACGCGAGAAATGAAGGCAAACACTTTGGTGAAGTTTGGATCCGCCACACAGTAGGAAACCCTGCATGCAGAGAGGAAAAATAACTTAGATGTCGACTGGACAGAGTTATTGCCAGGGCTTACCCCGCTGAATTTAGTTTTGGTTTGTGCCGTGACGGGTAACACACCCTGAAACTACTTTTAGGGGAAAATAATAATAAATTGCATGTAGCCCCATGTAAGGTAATCCAAGGAATTCTTGGATTCTGGATTCTACGCAGTGGATTCCGGATTCCTTATCACTGGAACTTGGATTCCGGATTCAGGATTAAGAAATCTCAAAATACCTGTGAAAAACTGCAAAAATGTTATAGTAAATAATGTTTCAGGTTAAAACGGTTTAGGATTGCGTTGATTGAACTTAGATTATTATGAGAAACTTAACATATTTAATGCAGAATTTGTTCAAGACGCAGAGACGTGACGTACATGTAGATTTGATGCCAATTTGGGGTCGACGAGTTATGGAGGTGTTGAAAACTTACCGATAAATAGGAATGTCCATGATTTTTTCCTAAGAAGATAAGAAAAACGGAGTATACAGAAAATGAGAACTAAACAATAAACAATAAACAAAGATGTAATGGCCATGACACAAAAGTCTCGTTCAGATGTTTTAATAATCCTTCCAGTCTCGCGGCGTAAAACTCGTCGCTTATCGTGCATTAATATTACGACACTTGAAAAAAAAGTAAACAACTGTGGTCGGTGGGCTAAGTACTTTGCTAAAAATAGGTTGACTTCACGTGGATTCTTACAGTTTTGATCATGACACGACACGTTACAGGCGTAAAAACTCAAATTTGGTACTAATTGTTTCCATGGCATCATCGATGATTGACTGGAAACAACTATGGAATTTTGCATTAACTAGGTTTACTAATTTCCTTATGAATTTGCACCCAATTTAAGAACAATTTGCAAATAACAATCCTTTTACTTTCAAATTAACTCGTAACAAACAGAAAACAGATGTCAAGGAAAATTCGTTGTGTCAGAAAACTCCTGATTAATGTTTGTCTCTGTTGACTGAAAAGCAATACAAAAAGGAGTTTTGCCTTATTGCGTGAAAGTCTACAATGAGTAGATTATGAGATATTGTCGTTTCTTTGCATTGCCGCTGAAAATCAACACAACAAGTGTTCTCATATTTCACCTTAGTACGCATGCGCAAGACTTAGATCACGCGATATGACGAACACGACAAAAAAAAAAAAAAACAACATCACCACCAACAAAAACAACAACTGTAGGTCCTGCAGTACGAGCACATTTTCTGCGCTGCGCTAGCTCAACTTACGTACATGTACATAGTACAGTAGCCAACTTGATTTTGATTGTCATGGAAGACTGACGAAAGAAGAAATTAAAAGTTTAAAAGTGCCACGAAAAATAGCTAAGGATTCCTGTTTTCTCCACTCAAAGCCTCCAATTGACAAATCTCACATTAACGTTTACTTCTACTTTCACTTACTCACCCTATTTAAAAATGACTTGAAGATGACAAATTTAAGGAAATTGGTGCTATAAATTATGAGTGCAAAGAGGTAGCGAAAAACTGCGCCTAATAAGCCAATCCTAAATCCTTACTGGGAGTAGATTTTAGTGTTCCTGCGATTCGGATAAATTGTAGTCACTTTGAACGCACTATTTAAAATACCTTTGTAAGCATGTCTTGTATCATTAACTTCCGGGTTGACACTGTAATTAGAACTTTCTTAAGACTTTCACTTGCAGGAGTGTTCTTTACCTAATAGAGACAGAATAAATAAACAGATTGATGAAAAAGAAAAATCTTTCACCTTTCACCAGCCTTAATATAATTTCCAATATCACAAATCGACGAAAATAAAAGAGCTGCTTGAACAAATATTTTTGGTTTTAGTACTTTGGATGCTATATCTGACAAAATATCAGCAATCAAATACTGCAGATTTTTCTTTTTTTTGAAAACGGTATTACACTCAATTGGCCAATACGTATATAGGTCTCAAAACTATAGAGGTATATAAGTTTTGTGGTATGACCTTTCAACCCAGCTAAAATGACTTTCCTCTGGCAGTTTTCTAATTAATTCAAACCAACGTTTACTCGTTTTCCCGGGGACGTCAAAAAATGGAAACCCAATATTCTATGCTTGTCCATAATTAACCCACATATGAAGATCTCTGAAGAGTATTTGAGGGTCTACACTCATAGAAATGTTGCTAGGAGACTACTACTACTAATCTTCAAACAAAAACAACCGAATAAGCAAGCAAACCTTCTTCGTATTAGTTACAATCTTCTCTACAGCTTCATCTGCGCAGCCGGGACCATGCGCTTTTGTCACAGGGCAAGAGCCAAGCATCTAAAAAAGAAACGAAAGAACGTGATTTAAAAAGGTAATTTAAACGTTGAAACGGCGGCCGGCTGAACATGAATGTACACAAAAGGAGAACAACTTTTCAATAACAAACCTTGACATAAAAATGTATTCCTTCAATGAGTGAATCCTCAGCATGAAGCCAGTCTTCTTGATTTTTACCTACCGGGACAAAAATATTCTGTATGTCAATGAACACAACAAAACAAACAAACCCAATGAAACTTTACTGGAACAATTCACATCTCAAAGTAAAATGGCGGAAACCTAGAAAGAGGGAAGCGAAAAGCAATTAAAAGACCGGGAGTTTACTATTCATCAGACGTCACAAGGTACAAAGCCCTCTATAAACCCTTTCAATGAATTTGGAGAGATATTTAAAACAATTCTTTAAAGCCTTCTTCGAATTCACGCAAGAACTTGTTTTCGATGGTTCGTCGCGAACTTTGAGATCGAACAGGAATGACTGACTATAACAATCACAAAACTCTTGAGAATGATCGGCCACAAAGCGACCAAAAAGTACATCAGTACGACTAAAAAAATTGTCCGGAAATTACCCGGTATAGCTGGTATTAAGAGCGCCAACGAGTGTTGGAGGTTTTGTTGTTGATGATGATGTTGTTTTTTACTCTTTTAGGTTGAGAGAAATCGATCTTCGTCCATGCTGCTAAAAGGCTCAATAATCGTAGAAAAAGAGCGAAAATTGAAAAACTTCCTTCTCGTTTTTACCCGGATTTTTGCTACATTCCAGGTTAAGGCGCGAGTGCCGTTCACGGATCACTCTCTTAGGTCTGTTTTACGAATCGTGCTCGGGCAATTAACGCCAAGAAAAAACAACTTACCTTTCCTGCAATTCTGCCTCACTTTGCGGTAGAAACTTGGCGAACTGTTGTAGAGCGTTTTGCGTATTATTTGAGGACTGTGCTTAACCTTGATTGCCACAGTCTTTAACAAAGCCATAAGGATATGAATTAAGTTTTTGATGTTTTTCTGATCTCAACCCTTGCAAAGTTTTGAATGAATTAGGTCTTCGAGATTTTACTTATGCGACTAGAATAGCAGAAGTGTGCGTTCGTTCTTGTATCACGTAAACCGCTATGGCTATAAAGACTTGAATTAAACAATACTAGTTATATAACCTATAAGACACTTCTAATAACAAACGTCAACGAATACTGATATGCACTTTCTGTTCCACGACAATACGTTTTTTCTCGCAATCAATACACTGAATAATAGCCGCCGTTAATAGTAACGTGAGCTAACTCCTCTCTCGCCCAACGTTTCGCCTTTTTTCGCGATAGCATCAAAAGAAAAGTAGTTTGCACATATCATAATTAAACTAATTCCACGCAAGGACAACTTAAACCAAATTCTGTACTACAGATTCGTAAAGGATCCATTTAATTTCGAGATTGCGAAGAATCATGACATTCCAACACTGCAAACATATACTATCCCAAAATAGCTAGTCAGCTGGATATTTATAATACGAAAGCATTTATCGAGAAAGTGTCATACACTGTAAACTATGTTATATTGTATTTAGATCCCTATCGTAAGTGTTTTCAACGAATTTGGAGATAAAAAAACTTCGTTGCTTGTGGCAACTTACAAACTATAAGCAGTCTTTAAATAAACATAACACAACAACTGTATCTAAGTAACGATGTAATTAACTTTAAAAGTACTGTATTACGCGAGAAGATTCGTAACGGCGATTTTCATCGCAACAAGTTGGTGGGTTTAGCACGTGCCAGTATCTCCTGATTTCGGACATACTTCACACGGTTTTAAATTATTTTAAAAAATTGAGACGAAAAGAATTGAACGACACTCTGTCAGGCTGCAAACAAAAACTAACTTACTGACTAACTTATTTCTGCGTTTCTGATTGGCTAAAAGCACACGCATAATTCACCATAAGCCATCTACTGATGACCAATTTGGAAGAATTTTGCGATTAATCAACCGATGACGTCAAAAGTGCAGCACAGCTGCAGGTTAATGCACCGTTAACCGACAAGACCTGGGGACGCGGTTGAGTTGTTTTGGTTGTGAAAACAAAAAAGGCGGCCGACATTTCACTCGTTTCAAAAGTAAGAACTAGGCGAAATAATAGCTAAAAACATGGCAAGAACAGCAAACAGACAACTCGAAGGGCGAGATCTGCTATTTGGAGAATATTTGCGGAGCTGAATAACCTTAAACGTGCACTATAGAAGATGAATTTAACATCGATGGAGGTAAGCAAGTTTTGGATATGTTTTTAAACTAGGAATTATTTTGAATGAATAATAAAACAATCATGGGATTCGACTATTGTATCATATGAAGAATTATGGAGATCTCGGAGGGTGTTATCCGCCTCGATCTCCATAATTCTTCATAAGATACTCCGCCTCATTCATTAATTGTTAAATAATGGGAGTCTCACTAATATTGATACTGCGTTGGGCAGGTTATAGTAACCTCCCCCTCCCACCCACCGGGAATTTTTTTTTAACCTTTTTGTTAACCGTGCAAGAAGACGCAAATTTATCCTTAGAGTCCTTTGACAGCTCAAACAGCCTCACGCTTCAACAATTTTCTTCTCAAGAAGGTTACTTTAGAAATTAACTCTGCTAACGTTTTTCTCACGCTTCATATCACCCTCCTTTCACTCATCGTCCTACTCCTTCCACTCCTCCTCTTGTTTTCCTTCCTCCTACCCCTCACATCATCATTACCCAGGGACCGCGGAGGGGGAGGGGCTGGAGGGCCCCCCCCCCCCACTTTTTAAAAAAATAATAATAACATAAAATTAAGAAATTTACATTTTCAAATAAAAGGAATCTTTGATGGAACATGAATATTCTACTGGCAGACCTCGCCGAAGCATCCAAATTTATGACTGGTCCGTTTCGATTCTATAGAGTGTTTTCACATGACGTCACGATGGCCATATTGGTGTCCCAAAACAATGAAACGGCGGCCATGTTGGTGTCCCAAACCAATCCTCTGGGAATTGAACTCTTTTCTTATGCAAACGCTTCTTTTGTTCCAATAAATTTGCATAGATGCTGGCCACGTGAGTGAAAACACTCTGTATCATAAGGTGAGCCCAAGAGATAATGAAGTAATCTCGTACCCAGATCTCCCACGGAACAGAGTGAGATCTGGGTACGAGATAAATAATGAAGTACCTCATGCTCTCTTGGTAAGCCTATCTTTTACAAAACTGCACTTAGTCGTAGACTTCTGCGTTTTCACCAGCCAGGTGATGTAGTGTATGCACAAACAATGGAGTCTTTTTTATCAAGGTTCTTAAATCTCCACGAAGCTACGATTTCTTAAAACAAATTGAACTAGATGACATGGTAGATAACATGAAGAAGTTTTAGGAATTACCTCAGCAGAGCATGATTTTGATAAATGAAATTTTTTCCCGATCTGCAAGCTTCTGATGGTAAATCCTGCAACCATCGCAGCAGGAAAAGGTCCATTTCGGCAGCTCGTAGGTTAAAAACAAGGCTCCGTTTAACAATGACTAAAGAAAGGTTCTACGCAAAGCCGCAAGGAGAGGACTGGGCAAACTTTTGAAGTAAATGAAGTACGCGAAAATCATGATGCTGCTGTGCATGGTTACATTTTTTTTTGTCACTGACTCCTTCCTCGTTTGTTAAACAATTAAAAAAAAAAAGATCGATGAGTTGTAACTGTATTAAAAAATACTGAGTTAACATCAGGTCAACGATTTTTAAAGTCCACAACCCCACAACCCCCCTCCCCCTAAATACACTTCAAAAGAGGTGGATCGGTCCCCGCAATTTAAAAACTGCTCCGCGGGCCCTGTTACCAATATTGAACTACACCGATAGGCCATTTTTAGGATGGCTACAGTTTAATGCTCTCTAACCTTGTCCAAATTTCAGTAATCACCTGGGTGAGGTTTAAATAGCACAAGCGAAAGAAAAAAAAATATGGTTGAATCCCTCTGTACCATCAGGTCTGCTCTAAGCAACCTAGATCACGAGGAAAAAAGGATAAGCACAATCGGTCACTACGCAGCCTATTTGGCGGGAGGTTCCGAGTTCGATTCCCAGGTGTGACCTCAAATCCTTGTTCCGAACTCTTTCCTTTCCGAAGGCATCGGCGAAAAACAAGCAACTCATTAAAGTCTTAAAGGTCTTAAAGTCATTCGAATGAATACAGCAACTGAATAAAACGTTTTTATATGACGTCACGGTCACCATATCGGTGTTCAAAACAATCAAAACCACGGCAGTCGTGTTGGTGGTGCCAAACTAATACCGTGGAACACTTTTTAGGAGTTGAACAATCTTATGTAAAAACTTTCTTTTGTTTAAAAAAAAAAAAACTGCGTAGCTGCTGCCGGCCCACATAAGTGAAAACACTTTATCAGTAGAAAAGAAGACGCGGGTGAACAAAATCAAAAAACGGATTGTTAACGGCAAATTTGTTTTGTCACGAAGATGTCAGATTTTGCAAATTGAAAGTAGTTTGATAGAGACGTGACTCGGTCAATTTGAGGCACTTAAAACACTTGCGCCTGTCCTTCCGCAAAATGAGGAGGGTCACTAATGAGATCATCTACTCCTCTTAAGTCGTCTTTGGTTTGTAAAGGTGCCATTAACCAATGCAAGCACAACCTACAGAGCACTTACACATGACGTCATGGCGGCCTCGAGTGAAAACGCTCTATATTCGTCACCCATAAAATACGTTCCTATAAGTCGTAGTAAACGAAAAGTTGTTAATTTTCCACAGCAAATGTGTGCAGTAGTGTGCTCACGATTCTTGAAACTATTTTTCGCCGACTGTCCCAAAGCGCGACAGACAGCCTGCAGTGCAGGCGTATTTTGGGTGGGCGAAACCCTTTTCGTGTTCGTATTGTTGTAGCCGCCATCTTTGATGGCACTTACGCGAGCAAAAACATTTGCGCGCCCGAAGAAAACGCCTGCACTGCAGGCAACGCAACAGAGGACCTCAAAACATGTGTGCAAATTTGTTACGTAGATTTTGAGTAGATCATAGGCGGCCCAAGCTCAGTATGAGAGTTTAATCATTAATACGTGTGGTCTCACATTACGTAATCCTTAAAATATGGCCGTGAATATGAAGGATTTGTATGGGAATTCAGATAAAAGATTCAAGAAGATAAATAGTCACTAGAATCTTCAATAAAATACACCGTACCTTACTTACTTTGCTTGTTTTTTCTTGCTGTGTGGTTATTTTCCCGATCCCCCCGGGCTATCGCGATTTAAGCGATTTTCTTTACCCTAATGAAATCGCTTAAATCGCAATTGATCGGGAAAATAACCACAAAGCAAGGAAAAACCACCAAAGTAAATCAGGTAAGGTGTATTTTATTGAAGATTCTAGCGAGTATTTATCTTCTTGAATCTTTTACCTGCCTTGTACGGTAGGTACAGGTAGAATGATTATGTTCACGGCCATTTTAAGGATTACGTAATATGAGACCGCCCGTGAGTAGACACGTGCTTTGTTGTTGTTTTTTTTTCTAGCCGATTAGTATTGAGCCATAACGCAAGTAGAAGCGTAGACAAAAGACGAATCTCGAGACAACTGAAGCATAGTTAATTAAAGTGGAATGGTTGGGAATCCCTTTCTTCTATGTTTTTGTTAGCCTTTTTGGACCTGACGGTGAATTACGTTCCAGGGACCGCGGAGGGGGAGGGGCTGGTAGGGCCGCGGCCCCACCACTTTTTTGCGCCCCGCCCCCACTTTTTGCGCTGAAAAGAAAAATAATTAAAATTAAAAAAAGGACTTGAAACATGTTTTTTTCCGTCTGTATTCCGCTATATTCTCTGTATTTTCTTTAATTTCAAACGCCAGGCATTTTGTGGGGCTCTTGTGCTTTTCGCCGTAATTGTGCCCTGGGGCCGACTTGCCCCTTGATCAAACGCCATGCCTTGGCCAACGGGCTTCGCTTCGTTCGGCAGCGTGTTTTGTACTTCCAGCTCCGACAGAGTTTTTTATCAGTTTTATCAGACGAAATGAAGAATATTACTAGCTTTTTCAAGCCAAACGAAGGTGAGTAGTTGTTTTGAGTTGATAAAAGTTTTATATTTTGTCTTTCTCCTTTTGAATCAATGAAATAT